TTTTTTTTTTTTTACATATTGCTTGATTTGATTTGGTAATATTTTCGTGTCTGGATTGACAAGGGATATTAGCCCATCAGTTTCTTTTTCTGTACTGACTTTGTACAATTCCGATGTCATTATCATCCTGGCTTTAGAAAATAGACTCAAGTTTCTGGGGGGAAATTATATAAGAATAGTTAATGGTTCTTTTTAAAATGATTGACAGCATTCAGCAGTAGCATCATTCATATTTTCCTTTTCTTTTTAAAATAAGATTTATTTTATTTCATATGTGTGTGTGTGTGCCTCCATACATGTAAGTGAATTGCAGGCATCCCTGGTGCACTTGGACACCTAAGAGAGCATTAGATTTCCTAGACCTGGAGAGCAATTGTGAGCTGCCTTGTGGGTGCTGGCGACCACACCGGGGTCCTCTGCAAGAACAGCAAGTGCTCTTCACAGCTAACCAGCCACCATATTTTCTATTCCTCATGTTATTTTTTTTAATTAAAGAACACTTTTTAAAAAATGGTATTTATTTTTATTTTATGTGCATTGATGTTTTGCCTGTTTGTATGTCTATGTAAGAGTGCCAAATACCCTGGAACTGGAATTATAGACAGTTGTGAGCTGCTATGTGGGTGCTGGGAATTGAACCATGGTCCTCTGGAAGAGCAGCCAGTGCTCTTAACCGCTGAGCCACCTCCCCAGGCCCCTTCTGTTTTAGCAAGTGAACATTTTCAAGGTATTTGTCTCCCTTAGCTAGGCTCTAACATCACGGTATTAAAGCAGCTTGTAAAGCTCTTGAACACTGGTCATAATAGTGATACCCAGTTCCTAAAATTCTGATTTTTATAATTTTTGTTTTTTCTCTCTTTTTTAAATGAGCTTTGCTAAGGGCTACTAAATTGTCTTATTCTTTTTTTTTAATTTTTTAAAAAACTTTAATTTTATGTGTACAGGTGTTTTGACTGCATATGACTATGTATCATATGTATGCAGTGCTTGAGGAGGTCAGAAGAAGGTAGCTGATGTTCTGGAACTGGAGTTGCAGATAGTTGTGAGTTGCCATGTGGGTGCTGGGACTCAAACCCAGGCCCTCCAGAAGAGCAGCCAATATTCTTAACAGCTGGGCCTTCTCTCCAACCCTTTTCTTACTCTTTTCAGTAAATATGCTATCTATATTAGTGTTATTGGCTTTTGTATTTTATAGCCATTCTCCTCATTATTCTTTTTCTTCTATTCATTCTGCTCCATTTTGTCCACCTTTTAAGTCAAAGCCTTGATCATTAATACTCCCCCTCCTCTTCTTCCTCTACAGCAAGACCTTGCTATGTAGCCCAGTCTGATTTGGAACCTGAAACTCCTTCTGTCTCAGTCTTCCAAGCGCTAGGATTACAGCTGTGCACCACCACATAGGCTCTTAAGATTTTCCTCTTCCTATTGCAAGCACTTATGTTTTAATGAAGTACTGCTCTGCTTGCTTACCATTGTTATCATTCAGTTGAAGTGTATTCTAATTTCCACATAGTTTCTTCTCTGACCCATATTAATAAGAGTATTGTATAAATTATAAATGTATCTTTTCTTTCTTTTTTCTGTTTT